GGCCGAGCCGGAGCAGCGCCTGCGCGAGGCCGAGGGCGTCCCGGCCGGCCTGTCCTGCCTGGGCGCGCTGCAGGGCCCCTGGGCCATGGAGCAGCTGGACCCCCAGCGCTACCACACCCACCCCGAGCCCGACACGCCCATCTGCGTGGCCTTCCTGCACGGCACCTGCCAGTTCACCGCCGGCTGCCCCCGCCACCACACCCTGCTGCCCTACCACTGGCAGCTGCGCTGGGCCGAGTCGGGCCGCTGGGAGAGCCTGCCGCCCCTGCTGCAGGAGCTGCTGGAGAGGCTGTACTGCAACCCCGAGCACCACCACGTCATGCTGCTGCACCAGTGAGTCGCTCCTCCGCCCGTCGGGCTCACCTGGCCTGGTAATTGATTAAATAGTTAATTGATTTCCAGGATGTCCTCTTTCTTAAACTGCGTTTTTGGTTTCAACATGGCAGTGCGGTTTGTTCCCCTCTCCCACCACCCTTTGTGTAAAGATGCACCTCCTGTTGTGACTTTTAGTCCTCGGGCTTGTCTTTGTGTTCTGTAGTCCCCTAGGGAAAAGGTAGGTTTTGGGTCCCTAGTGTTCGACTGGCTTAGTTTCTCCAGCCTGCTGCTGTTGGATGTCCTGTTAGTATTGTTGTTTCTAGGGCTCAGAGACCACAGCCCAGCCATAGCAACTGGACACAGGCAGACCCGGCTGTGCTCCCACTGCCACGGGGGCGATGGTACAGTAAGGTGTCTAATTCCCTGGTATTTTTCCCAGAGAAACGCTCCTTCCCTAAAACAACAAATCTAATCCCAGAATCCCACCAGGGGAGGAAAGCTGACGGAGCTGCTGCCCAGTGTGTGATCTCGTGTGCCTGCAGGAGTGTGCTGATGACCGTGGACATGGAGAGCATGACCGTCCAGCCCCCGCTGCCCTTCACCGCGCTGCGCCGCCTCTCCACCAGGGGCGTCCTCGGGGGCCCCCTGCACATCCCCTACACCTTCTACTGGTGGGACGACCCGTGCTGGAGGGAGTACCAGGTGGTGAGCAGGACTGGTCGAGCAGCGCTGTGCCACAGGCTCCACGGGTTTGAATCCGACTCGCGGTAAACGGGGCGCCCGTGAGGCTCCGCTGCGGTTAACTGGACCATAGGGAATGGCAGCTGTGCCCTCAGCAGGGGGCGCTAGAGGCCCTCCCGCGGTCTCGCCGTGTGGGTCGGTGGGCTAGCAGTGATCGGTGTTCTGGTCCCCCCCCCCCCCCAGGGAGCGGGGAGGACGGCGGGCGGCGCGCCGAGCCAAGGGGCCAAGGAGGCGAAGCCGGAGGCCGCGGCCTCCCAGCAGCCCGCGGTGCAGGAGTCCCAGGGCATGCGGCAGAAGGCCAGGAAGCTGCGCCCCGTCTTCCGGGCGCTCGTCACGATGCTCCCACACCTCCGGTCAGCGCCTCGCCCCCTCTGCGTGCTCGTCCTCGCCTGTGTGCCCCTGTTCATCCACCCCGCCCCCCCGTCTCTCCGCAGCTCGTTCCCCGAGACCTGCTTCTGGGGGTCCCCGACTGGCCTGCCGCCCATGCAGGATAGCCAGTACCCCACGACTTGGGCCAGCATGGACCCATCCATGGACTTCATCCAGGTGAGCTGCCAGAGGTTCGAGCCCGTTCCCATTGGGGCACGATGGGGCCAGCGAGGGGACGCTGGAGGGGTTCCTGGGCATGAGAGGAACCTTTCATGCTCATCCGAAGGAATCCCAGGATTCCCGAGTTTTATCCCTGGAGACCAGCTTCATCAGCCCTGCTGTAGGCTAGTTTTCCGCTGGCTTTATTAGTCTGTATGCTTCTTCACTCAGCAGTGGGGCAGAGAGCAGCTTCGTTTGGCCACATGGTGGCGTCTGTGCTGTGTCCGGTGGTCCTTCTGTACACTGAGCCAGTCTAGCGCCCCCTGGTGTTGTCATGTGGCCACTGTCTGACTGAACCACATGACTCGGCATCAGGGGGCGCTAGACTGGTCCAGTGTACAGGAGGACCACCGGACACATGGACCGTGCTGGTGTGTGTCTGCGTGCAGGTGAACCTGTCTCTGGACGACCGGACGTACTTGATCATCCACCAGCTGTTCCACCACACGCTGCCCGAGCTCAAGTACCAGCTGCTGTCGGTGTCCCGCGTGCAGAACCGCTTCCTCTGGGACAAGTACAAGCGGTGAGGGCGCCGTGCGTGGCGCGCGTGGCTTCCCCGCGCCCTGCAGCCCCGCCGGTCTGCCTGACCCTCCCCTGCCCTCTGCCGCCCCCTGCAGGAAGAAGGAGTACATGTGCCGCAACCCGGTGGAGGAGGAGCAGCGTGGCCACGAGCGCCACCTGTTCCACGGGACGGCGGGCGAGGCCGTCCGGGGCATCTGCAAGCACGGGTTCGACCCGCGCCTGTCGGGCAAGCACGCCGCCGTCTTCGGCCTGGGCACCTACTTCACCCGCAGCGCCAGCCTGGCCAACCGCTACGCCCTGCCCGACCCCCAGGGGGCGCACTACCTCTTCCTCTCCAAGGTGCTGGTGGGCCGCTGGGCCCAAGGAAAGGCCAGCCTGCGCCGCCCGCCTGCCCTGCAGCCTGACAACCCCGCCAGCGACCTCTACGACTCCTGCGTGGACAGGGTGGCCGACCCCAGCATCTACATCCTGTTCGACAGCGACCAGTGCTACCCGTACTTCCTGCTGACCTACAGGAAGGTGGAGCCTGTGATTGTCCTTGCATGAGCATGCAGCCGACACGCAGAGAGAGAGAGAGGCCTGCTGTTAACAACAGTCTACAATCCCAAACCCCCAGCACCGGCTTTCCTAACCCCCACCACCCAGAGGAGTTTGGGCAGTGTGACCTTTGACCCCTGCTTGTGGCATGTCGGGGCTGGGGGCCTGACCCCATGGCGCAGAGAGCTTCACAGGCTGTCTGAGTTGAAGACCCCGAGTGCGCACGTCTTCCCCCCCACCCCCCCTACTGCCTTACTCCCTCGTGCGTCAAGGTCCGAGCCCAGCAGGCGTCACTTGAGAGAAATCCGTGGCAGGACGCCTGCTGGCTCCCGCTCAAGGGATTCCGGGAAGAGTCGGATGTTTCTCCGAGTTCTTGTGTGGTTCTCGCTCTTGAGCCGCTGTGGGATTCTGGTGGCGGTCCTGCCTGGGTCGGGGGTGGGATCTGGAGAGGGGGAACGGCAGCTGCGTGCGGTCTGGGAGGAAGTGTACGCACAGCTGGTGGCTCAGGCGAGGTGTTCTGGGAAGACTCCAAGAGCGCGGAGGAGAAGGGGGAACGTAGGCGTCCCTACTCCTCTTTCTCCCGGTAACTGGAGCTCGGAGAGGGAGGGGGGCAGGTGGATTGTTCTCTGCCCAGTTCTCAGTTCTACCCCCCCCCACAATTCCTCCAGCGCCGTTCGGACTGGGCTGCCATCGTGCGCTTCCGAACACTTCCGTCAGTGCCAAAGGCCTTTGTTCTGGCTCGTCCTGTGTGAGTCATCGGCCGCGCCTCGTGACGGATCGCGGACGTCAGCCAGCCTGGGGGGCCGGAGGGACGGACTTGAGTCCGCTGCCAGTAGCGTCGCGTGGGGACCCGCTCCGTGCCCAGGTGCATGCTGGGGGTTGTAGAGGCTCGTCTCTAAAACGTTTCTTCCTTCTCGATCTCCCTTGTTTACCGCTTGACGGACGCCTGCGCTTGGAAGCTCGGGGAGCAGTGGACGAAGCTGACTTGTTGGTACTGGGAATAGTCTGGCGGAGGCTAGGCCAGTTTTCAGAATCGACTGGTTGTGTGTGCGTGTGTGTGTCTGACGATCACGTAAAGTAAATGCTTCTAACTATAGTGGACTAGGCAAGCTTGGTTTTTAACTAGAATGACCTTTTTAACTTTTTTTTTAAAAGTTTTAAAAGTGATCTTAATGTTTGTTCATGCAGTGGTTGGTCTAATGAGGGAGGAGGTTTCTGGTACAAGCCTGATATCCCCCGGGAGCCCTCTGAGGATTTGGGGGCTACCCCATCGGGGTGCTCTGACCCCGATCTCCTGGAGGGCTGCTGTCTGCTTTAATCTGCTGGGTGTTATACAGTAATTAAGGGTCCAGCTTCAGTGGCTTTCTTGAGGTTGTCCTGCGTGGTGGTGCAGAGTTCAGGAGTGCTGGGCCCCTGGGTTCAATTCCTGGGGGGCCGTCTGTGTGGGGTTTGTATGGTCTTCCCCTGTTTGCACGCCTTTCCTCTCGTAGACCCAAGACAAGCTGGTACAGTAGGTTAACCGGCAGTTGGGATTTTTAAACGATGAGTAGTAAGGGCCAGTAGGGCTTGCGACACTTTCTTGAGGCGTCTCGGGTTCGAGTCCTTCCTTGGCTGGTCTGCAGGTGCTCCAGAGGAACGCTCCGGCTCGAGCTCCTCGCTCCTTGTCAAAGTAGTCCTGCACCCCAGGTGCACCCGGGGTGGGAACAGTGCGTGACGGAGTCCGATCTCTTCCGGGTCGCGACACTGAGCTCCTGAGGAGCGGAGCTTGAGCAGGTTCGGCAGATCCGACGCCGGACGGGGTGGTGGAATGGTCAGTGTGGGCTGGACAGACCTGGATTTTCACAGGGGAGAAGGAGGCTCTCTGGGGGGGAGACTAAACAGCTGTGTGTTTAATGTCTTATCTGGCTTCAGTCTCTCATACCCACACTCCCTCTCTCTCCTGGGTCCAGTGTTGTTGCTCAATTGTTTTTTTTTAATTATGCATTTAAAAAGGGCAGGTGGCCTGAGAGTGCTCTGTAGGACGCGGGACACCCCTGGAGCTCAGGGGGGGGGAGGGAGGTGTCCAGATGTTGGGTGTGGGGGGCAGAAGTGTGAATGCCCGACTCCCGATCTGATCGTGCTGCCTTGTCTGCTGTTAACGGTTAAATGAACTGAGCCTGTCCAGAGAAAGAGTTACTCAATGTCTTTTTAAGAAGTTCAAGATGACTGTTGCATACTGTAAGAAGTAGCGATTAAAATCTGCTCTGGCAGAGATTCTCATGTTGTCTTTATTTTTGTTTTTTTGTTCTTTCCTGGTTCTGGGGTTAGAAGCTGTGGTTTCAAGGGGGGGACTGGTGCCAGTGTTATCAAACTCCTCCTCTACCCCTGGCTGGGAGGGGGTGTATCTGCCCTTGGCCCCCAGCTTACCCAGCCAGAACAATTTGTCAAACTACACGTTTCTTTTCCTTCTTTAAAAGAAGGGTGTTTGGGGAGTCAGGTGACCCCCTCCACCCCAGTCCATGCTCCATCAGTCACTGCACCCTATTGCCCCTCGGCGCGAGTGCGTGGGGGACGCGGGTGCTACCTGCTGTGGCTGACCCTCCGCCGCTGGGGCCGTGCTGTGTGGGCGTGGAGAGTCGGCTCCTGGGAGCGCCAGTGCCGGTAGTGCGTTCCTGCTGCCAGGCGAGTTTGTGACGATCGATAGGAAAATTACAGCTGCCAGCCGGCCGGATCGGCGGTGTGTCTGTGCGAGCAGGGGCGCCTGTACCCGGCCTGTGTGCTAATGCTCTCTCGCGCTGCGTGGGGGTGTGTGTGTGTTTTGATAATGAATCAGTGGTGTGGCCGAGGGTTTAACGGCGCTTCCTTTCCTGTTCCAAACCGCTGAAAGCCACAAGCCGCACTCCGGCGACCCGACCCGAACCTCACCCTCCGCCTCTCTCGCTCGCTCTTAAACACGGAGGTTTCGAAAACGAAACTTGTTCCCGGTTTGGGCGCACACGCTCAACACTCAATTAAACTCGCGTGTGGGGGGTTTTGTGCGCAAGAAGCGGGAGGCGATGTCGACTGCGCCCGCCGGGAGAGCGCTCGCGCCCGCGCCCGCGCCGGCCGGGTGGCGGGGCTCGGTTCTGTGGAGCTGCGCCGTGTCGCTGGCCCTGGCCTGCGCCTTCTCGGTTCTGCTCGGCCAGTCCCTGCAGATCCGGCACCTGCGCGCCGAACTCGCCGAGCTCAGGCAGCGGGCCGGCGCCGG